GTGCTTTTAAAATGTCATAAGCACAAGATCACGCGAAGTACAAGCGGAAGGCTCTAATGCAGTGCCCCATCTACTTCTCAAAAGCCAAACGCATGACAGTGTGCTTTCCACACCACACCTATGGACACACAACTATCCCTCTGCATCTCAAAATCCCCTTTATGTGCTCCAGAGCTCTTCAGGCACAAGGGGGGGGGGGGAGCCTTTTTCTTTTCTTTTTTTTTTACTTTGATAGAAGATTCCATGCTCCACATCAGCGGCAAGCACCATCTTGCTCATCCTCCAGGAGAGATGCAACGCTGTGTGGGTTGGGTGCATGTACACACATGCCGGCTCGAGTGGGGCTACAGCAAGAACAAAAGGACAAATTATGTGGTAGGGAGACTGTTATTTCCATGATCCCTGGGCAAACCCTGGTGGTCGGACATTTTATGAAGACAGACCAGTCCAATAGTAGGGTTATACCTTTCTGTTAGCATCAACTGATAATTACAATCATTACAATTAGTACCATAGCAATAGCTGCAATTACAAAAATTCTGAAAGGTATTTCGCTATTGTTGCTTTTGGACTTTCTCCACCTGGCAAGCCCAGCTGCCTGCAATTTTTGACAAGGAAAGGGGAGAGGAAGTCCCCTCTTACACAAGAGGGACCCCACCTGCTCATTTAGACGGGTGGGCTGCGCTGTCAGCCACAGGAAGGGGCACAGGACCAGGGCAAACGGCTCACAGCATTTACAAGGACTGAGGTGAGGGAGGAAAAAAACTGCTTTAAGGGCTGCAGTGATGCTTACCTCCTACGCTGACTGGTACTTGGATTAGCCCAAATTCTTCCCTTGCAGTGGATCCAGTCTAAGCCGGCTAGGGTTTGTAGCAGGCTCATTGCATCCGATGGGCAGAGAATATGTGCCAGGAAACAGGGCTTTCAAAAAATCAGAATTCAACCCGGCAATGCACTTGGGAACTGAATGGGTTTCTGGGTTTTTTGGAAAACTAGACAGGCCTGTAACCCCTCAAGACATCATCCCAAAATGATCTTACTTTCCTTGCCCTGCATATGCCTGGCTCTTTTATTTTGGAAGCAAAACATTCACTATCACCCTCCTCAAGGGAGTAGCCAGAAGCCTGGAATGTCATTTCAAAACCTTCCTATATGTGCACTTCCACGGAAAGGCAAAGTGGTGTAGCGGTCAAGAGTGTCAGACTCGATCTGGGAGATGTGGGTTCAAATCCGCACCCAGTTATGAAGCGGACTAGATGATCTTGTCCTTCATGCACTCTCAGCCAAAACTACCACAAATGATTGTCATGAGGATAAAGAGAGGCAGGAAAGAGTCATAACCAGTGTTCCCACTCAGCTGAGTTAGTGTGAGCTAGCTCACAGTTTTTTAGCCTCTGGCTCACACATCTTTGTCTTAGCCCAGGAAGGATGGCTCCAGAGCAAACTAATATATGCAGTAGCCAAATCGCTCACTCACAACTTTCATGCCAGTAGCTCACAGAATAGAATTTTTGCTCACAAGACTCCACAGCTTAGAGGGAGCCTTGGTCATAACCACCGCCTTGAATTCCTCGGGGAAAGGGTGGAAACAGAAATGTCTAGCTATGAAGTTAGAAACTCACAGTGGTGTTGGGGATCCCCCTCCCTCAACATTCCCACACACGACTTGCCTCCTACGGTTTTTCCTTTAATGTAGTGACAGAGGGACTCCCACGTTCTGCCACCTGTTTTACAGCCTTGCTTTTGTTCACTTTCACAATCGCCCTGGCAAGATAAGCGACTAAACCCATTTTGTTTAGGGGAAATTGAAAGAGAAAGCCTAAACCACAAACTAAAGCCCTGGTTAAAGACTCACGCATTCTCTTCCAGATCCAAATATATACTGCAGCTAATCCGAGGGCCACAATAGCTCAAGGCCAATGCTCCTCTCATCAAAGTGGTACTACAGCAACAATCCAATTTGCCCCAGAATCACCATTTTTAGCTTCTCAACGCTCAGTGAGATGGGTCAGGCTGAGAGAGGCCTCCGTGAACCACCCAGTGAGTTTCACAGCTTGCAGGGGTTGCAATCAAGTTTCCCAAACACCACTCCAACCACTGCACTACACTGCCCACTGCCTCTACTACGGTGGTCATCTTGTTTGGCCTTCATAACAGCCCATGCCCCCATTGATTCTACTGCTGTAGGACAGTGACAAGAGCGCTTTCCTTAGCAGCACTGGCAAAACCTGTGCCTGAGATCCCACCTGCCATCAGAGCATCCAGGCACCATCACATTAGATGGCCTACCGCTTCTGACTCCGTACAGAGCATTGCCTATCTCTCCCCTTTCTGCCCCACAATTTGGATCAACAACCACGTCCCTTAGTCAGTCCTTAAGTAAACAGGGGCACTACACATCTGCCAGACATCTAACAGAATTAAACAGAGTTCATATTGGGCAGGGATGAAGAAAATGGTCAGTTGTCAAGCCCTCTTTGAAAAAAACCATGCCGGGAAACAAATCCTAGTGCAAACCCTGTATTTAATGCGTCTAGGAAACTGTTTATTCTCCACTTTACCTGCTTTTCCATGGCCATAAGCAAGTACATCGATACCAACTCCCATTCTCAGTATCAGTTCCTGAGTATCCCTGTATTGTTCAGAGGAACTGGTTGACCACTGTGTGAGACAGGATGCTGGACTAGATGGACCACTGGTCTGATCCAGCAGGGCTCTTCTTATGTTGATTTAAAAGTCAACCATAAGAGCAGTGAGCATGGATTGCATTCTTTTAAGTGCATCACCACTGCCACATGGAGAACAAAACGTCCATATAAGAGTACTCTGTACAGTATGAAGTGTTAATAAACTGCCTAGCGTACACATATCAATTCAGCTGCAAACTTCCTTCCCAACCTTTTGGTCCTTGCTACCTGGGAAGAAGAATCCAGCTACTCAAGCTTCAAGACATCTATGAACCCTTCCAGCTCTCCAGTGATTTCTGCAGCCTACATCTGAATTTTCAAACTGTCTGCTTGAGTGAAGAAAGGACAGAATGGCTCTTTGCCAAACGGCAAGCAAAATGATTGTGCAGCTATTCTCCCAACCCCAGCACCTGAATTACGTGCTCTCGGTACCTGTACAACAGTACAGAGAGCACAGAAAGTGTGTGTAACATAATAAGCATCACACAATGGGAAGTCCCTGGTTAAAACTACCTCAGACAAACTCACTGGGTAGGCTAAGGAAAGCAGCTATCTACTTCAGCCCTCATGGGGTGATAATACTGGCCTGCCTTGTACTGCTATAGGAAAGGTTAGAGACAACATGTAGGGCACTGAGCATTTCAAGAAAGTGCTATAGAACTGTAATGATTTCATGGCTGGGCCACTCCAGCTGTGGGTCTCACACGACTGGCAGCCCAAGAAAAAAGCCAGGGCCCAGAGGAGGCTTAAAGTTTCAGCCAGAAACACGCCCAGTGTGCCAATCTGAAAGCTGCTGTGCGGCTTGCCAGATCCTACCAACTGAACTTTGATACCATGACACTGATAATCTCCCCTCCCACTAATACCCTAAGACTGGGGGCCTTATAAATTTAAGGGTGATCAAATACAGGGTTGGCCTTCGGTGTCATGTCTGAGGGGGCTTGCCCCAAGACATAAAAACCCAGTTAGGCCTGTTTTCTCTGCATTCAGGAATTTCAGGAGCACCACGCACACTTCTGGAGGCATTCCGGAACCTCTCTCCTTCACAGACAGCAGAATCAGTACACCACTGCTGACCTCTCCTAAAACTGTTTTATGATCTTCCAGCTGCTCACCTTCATGACCTCGAGGTGGCTACTATTGCTTATCTTATGATCAACAGTAATGGGTCACTAAAACTGGCCTTCTAGAGATGAGAATCTGCAAGCATGAGAAATCACAGACTATGACAGTCCCACAAGGAGGGTGAGAAGACACACATCTGAAGACCCAAACAGGTGGCATTCGACTTCATCTAAGTATTACCATTTTTCACCCAAACAAAAGGAAGGAAAAGCTATTATTCTGCTTCATCCTTCCTTCTAAACACAAACATCTTCTATTATTCTGCTTCATTCTTCCTTCTAAACACAAACATCTTTTCCCTCGCACACACACTGATTTTACTGGCTCATTCTCAGTTTTTCCACCACCTACTTTGGCTGCCGGGAAAACCCCACATCCAAAGCAAGTTTCACTTTTAGATTTCCGAGGCCAAGCTCTCTGAAACCTTCAGCCTATTTTTTGCCAATCGCAGGCATGAGAGAACATGAGAGGAGCGGAAGGCAGCCACAACAGCTGTTTCGACAACCCCCAGCCCAGCCACCAGATCTAGTAACGCTGCTGTCCCTCTTTCAGCACAGGAGGCCGGGGATTAAAGGCAGTCAGGAAGCAACCCCACAGGACTACTCCACCCTGTCTGTTTTGGAGCACCCGTGTAGACAGTTCACTGATTGAATCCTTTTTCCCTAGCAAAGCACATCTACAGACAAGCCAAACCAGAATAGGCCTTTCACAAAGAAAGCCCTATGGGACAGAGCTTCAGGGAAGGGACTATACAGGCACGTTGTAGCTGGAAACTAGGGCAGAGCTGCCCTACCTAGTACTGTGTTGAAAGAAAAGGGGGGGGGAGCAGAAAGATCTTCTGGAAATAATCCAGAGCTGAATAAATCACCACTCATTTGATCTGTGCAATGAGACAATTACCCAATGCTACAAACTAAACAGGTGGTGTTATTCACTGAGGTGCCTCCCGGCAAGCAAAGGCAAAGGCTGAGAACAATGGAGCTGCTTTAATTCCCAACCAAGATGTCTTCTGACCAAGGGAAAGATTCCTAGAATCCTCCTTGGCTACCCAAGCCAATGGAGGAGGGTTAAACCAGGCAACTTTCTCTCACAACATTTTCCCTTCCGAAAGTCACTCGGGAATCTCCCAGCAGTCCCCTTCTCCCCACCACCCCTGCTGACAAACTGCACAAAGTGAAGCCGCCTTACCTCTTTGGTTAGATCTCCATTCATTGGAGGAGCCACGGCGCCCAAGTCTTCCAGCTCTTCGCCAAAGCCTTGCTCTGCTCCACTTTCCCTCACCACATTGTCTGGGACGGTCCCGTCTTGCAAGCCGCCACCATTCTCAAGGACAATGCCCGTGCTGGGCTGAGCACCGGAGACGGAGCCTTCGGGATCTCGATGTACCAGCCAGGCATTGACTTCTGTGGTGGGCACCTGGAACCGGTCCAGGGCCCTCACCTGGTTAAGAAGCCGGCGAGCTGTGAAATAGTAGTCCAGGTCTACACTTTTGGGATGGATAACATAGCCGTCTAAAGTATTGCGCAGGTTGTGGAACTGTGTCTGAGTGTAAGCTGAGCTCTGGCCCAGAAAGATCTCCCGCAGAGGGGGAAGGTGAGAGTTCAGGTAGGTATCTACGTCCACCCTCACTCCGATCAGGCTGAGGAGAATGGTGAACTGGATGAGTCCCTCTGTGAAATATTTCTTCAAAGAAAGCATTTCTGTAAGAGGAGAAGCAAAGGCATGCAGCAGGGTTTTTGTAAAAGCCACACTTTGCCCAGCTGGCTCTCCACACAGTTGTTTATGGAATCAAAAACACTCAACTGTGTTCAGCTCAGTTTACAATGAAACGCAAAATCGAACAGGCTGCCACCAAAAGGACCAACACAAGGTTCTCAAAATCTCCAGAAGCAAAGAAGGCTGTCTCTCATCAGAACTCCTGTCCGTTCTGGTGTTCTCTGCCTCCTCAGAACTACAAACTGTTTTGTAACCAAGCCGAGGCAGTTGCATATAAGCCCACGTGACTTACTGTCTCACAGAGTCCACAAACGGCAACTTCCTTGAGCCGTTCTTGCTTCCCACACCGACAACAAGACGGGACAAGTCCGCTGGAACAGCTGCAGCTTTACGTTCTCTCCCCTCCCTCTTCCTCCTCCGGCTCTGAGACGCTTTCCTGAAGGAGCACTTAGAGTCCAAGACTCCCAGGGAGGGAAAGGTTCAAAGACTCTTCCACTGCTTGCTGCAGGTTTCGTCAGATACTGAAACACAGCAAACAAATGAAGGTGATAAGACACGGGGGAGACGCACCCTTTGGCATTAGCTCTCATCCTCATTTATGGGTCACAAGGAACCCATGTCGCACAGCCTCTGCCTAGCTCAAAGAACAAATGTACATGACATGACACCAAAGAAAGCCAATGTTAAGTTTGGGTCAGGGTTGTCCCAATGCTCCCACCGTGTTCCATTCTCAGTTCTAAGCAAAATCAACTTTCCCTTTCTGCTGGGTCACCTCCGCTGCGCTTTCTGCTCCCTTTCACTCCTCAGCAAGACAGAGCAAAGTGCCAACCAGTCCACATTGCAAGAACGCTGGCGCCGGCCTCCCTCTTCAGCCATCCTGCCTCCTCTACCTGCTGACAGCTTGCAGTCAAAGCATGCTGATGAAGCCTTTCATGCAGTGTGACCTTCTGATCAGTTTACAATGAGGGCAAGCGCTGGGGTCAGCTTCTGGCTTCAGAGGACTGGGGAGCTATTCAACAACACCAGACACATCTGCAGACATTTCCCCCAATGTACAGGTGGCTTGATGGGACCTAAAGGCCAATTCCACCTCTCTCCAACAAGGACAGGATTATAAACGTATCTTTAAAGCCCCCTTTCCATTCAAAACTTCTTACAGCTTTTGCAATCACACACCAGGAAATATCAGGTCATTTGTGTGTTACAAATACCTGTCCTATACCATTGTGGTGCTCTGAGAGAGTCCAAATACCTTTGCCTACCCTCCTGGGTTTTTAAAACTTTTTTTAGGGGCTGACTGCTACACTTTGGGTTTTCTACATTAGAAGAGTTGGATTTATACCCTCCCCTTCACCCAGAGTGGCTTACAATCTCCTTTCCTTCCTCTCCCCACAACAGACACCCTGTGAGGTAGGTGGAGCTGAGAGAGCTCTGAGAGAACTGGGACTGACCCAAGGTCACCCAGCTGGCTGCATGTGGAGAAGTGGGGAATCTTAACCAGCACACCGAACATTATTGCAGTTACTAGGCACAGAACTGTTGACTAGTTACAGTTCTACTGGTTTCAAAGGATCCTGGAAGAGGAATTTTCCCCTCATAGTTTTATTTACCACTCCTTGACAAGTTTACAGTGCATATGTAGTACACATGTTATGATTAGTAACTTGGGAAGGGGGAGCGTAGAATGCTGGCAGACTGCTGCCCAACCAGCAGGATTATTTACCTTCCCAGGCTTTTTTTGGAAAGAGATCTGACCTCTTCCACCTCCCTGTTCCTCTCAACTTAACTTTGAGCCTTCAGATGCCTGTACAGTGCCAGCATGAGCTCTGGAGGCCATACTGAGAACACTGGAGAGGCAATAAAGCGCATATCCTTTCTTCCCATACAGGCACATATATAAGCCTAAGAAGCCACTGCCTAGCAAATTCCCATCTACCAATATTCTGTGGTTGTCTGGAAGTTATAAAATAGTCCTATTAACTAGAGTTTTATCAGCAATCTACATGACAAGAAAACCTAACTTCTGTAAAAGCTCCATTCAACAGTGGCACGTACAGAATTTTACCTACATTTTACCTACATCAAAGCACCAAACACACCTACCACAGAAGGGACTGCATTACCACAGCCAGCTGAAAGCATGAACGAAAACAAACAAAAAGCCTCTGAACCGCAGGTAAGCCCCAAGCGGTAATATGAGGGCTTCTGAACCTCCCTGTCTTGCTTTTCGAAGCTGGTGTTTCAACACAACTTTTGCCCCAATTAACTTGACACCGTTCATCCTGATCCGGCTGCTGTTGCCATCAGCAACAAGTGGGAGACGAGAGGTTGCACTATCCACACCTTAATTCTCTGAAAAGTAATCATGTGTTCATCCTAACCCATGGTCTGCTTTTGGCCTTCCAGCCAGCACCTCCTGTCTCTTTCCCGTTCCCCAAGTGGGACATAACTCCCAAGCTGTTTAAAGCAAAAACAAGACTAGAAGCGCCAGAATCCCCTACCATGTGGGGTTGGTATGTGTTTTTTTTGGCATGCCCTCTCGTCAATCCTAACTTCTTCATCACCGGGACTTTCCGGGGCTCATATTTCACACTGCCTCTTTTAAAACCCTCTCAAAATGCATCCAAACAGCAAGGGAGAGAGCATGCAGAATTCCCCCAAGGCTAGACACTAGTCCGCAGACCAGCATAGGGCCTATCCTATTTATACAACATCACGAGGTCCCTCAGAAACTTCCATGGCTGACACTTACTGACCCCACAGGGAAGAACCCCAAATCCCCACCCTCATACAAGCACCTGCCCCTCATTGAAAATAAACACTGTTCTCTTTTCTGTTTAGATATTTCCTCTAAGTTTCCTCAGCTGTTTCACAAAGCAACCATTCACACACCTAAAAGGGACATTTCTCCCATACTCTTAGCCACATATCAATGCTTTCTTCCCCGCTGATTTCCTTGCCCCTTTTCTAGAAACCACTATTTTTCCTACCCCAGCAGGCCTCCTGTATTTCCTCCGAATGACCCTATCTCCCTGCTAGCTTGTCTGAACCAAATGCAGGAACTTCTAAGCCAACTAAACTTCTGTACTCATAGTTAACGTGGTTAAGATTAAATGTGCAAGAGTGGGACTTGCAGAGCATAATTGTTTGTGGGGTGGTGATTTCTATACACCTGTAGTGGCAAGGACACAAACAGGAGGCAATGGTTGCTAAGAATCAATTCATTCAGAGTAACAGCGTGACACTATTGACTTCATTTGTTTCACACATTTTTATCCTGCTGTCCAGCCTCCCCTAAGCCCACAAGGTACTGTACACACTTCCAAACAACTGCCTATTTAATCCCGCCACCGCCACCCCTTTGGGGCCCTTGTTCTCTTTGCTGTCCTGAAAAACCCCCAAGGTTTAATTCCTTCGCCTCTCTCGCATTCCTAACCCCCTTTCCTCTATAGCTTCTGCACTGCTCTTCTGACCCCTTTCAGCCCCTCATTTTTGTTCCTTCTCTTGTCCCGAACCACCCCAGCTGCCTCTGCAATTGGCCTCCACCCTCTATCGCAACCTGCCCAGAACATCTCACACCTCTCCTCCTCCCTTTAGGATCCCTCCCCTCGGACCCTGTCTATTCCCATTCCCCTTGCTGCACAGAATTTCCTTCTATCGCATTAGCTATTAACATGCTTTCACCCTCACCCATTCAGACGCCCCACCGCTTCCTACCTTCTGGCCAGCTACGCTCACTGCCACTCCACCACCACTACCCCTTCCAATCGTCTGCCTGCTCCATTTCCACTTAAGATTATGGGAATTCCACCCAACCCTCACTTCCTCAACCCAACTTTCCTCCCGCCTCCCCATTCCCCCCACCCCACATCTCTCTACCCTCTAACTCTACCCAGAACTATCAACGGCCTTCTTACCCACTCCCGTCTCACACCCTGCCTAGCAGCGTCCCCTAGAGATCGCCTCCGTCTGCCCCCTACTCGTCCACAGCCCTCCCTCCTTTCTCCTCTGCCTTTTGCACCCCCTTCCTTCTTTTACACTCTGCCTTTTCCACCCCCCTTGTACTACGGTTGCCAGGTCCTCCCAGGCCACCAGCAGGGAATGGGAGGGGGTAGCGTTGCCAGCTCCAGGTTGGGAAACTCCTGGAGATTTGGGGATGGAGCCTGGGGAGGACAGGGACCCCAGTGGGGTACAATGCCACAGAGTCCACCCTCCAACGCATCCGTTTTCTCCAGGGGAACTGATCACTGTCGTCTGGAGAGGAGCTGTAATTCCAGGGGATCCCCAGGTCCCCACCTGGAGGCTGGAACCCCCGTTCTGCCTAGCCCCCCCCCCACTTGTTCTCTGCCCCTCCCCTCACCCAACCCATATGTCTCTTACCGCCTTCACGCACACGGCCTGCTCCAAACCCCACGTTTGTGCCCTTCCCTTACCACAGCCCCCCCTCTGCCCCCTCCGACCCACCTGTAGCCCCCTCCCCACTTCCTCAGCCCCCCCACCTATGCTTAGCTCCTCCCACTTTCCTTCACAAAGGCCCACCCGCCCCTCGCGTCCTTCCATACCGCTCCTCTCTTCAGACACCGCCGTCGAGTACTCGCTCTTGCCTTCGGGCGGCCTTACCCCAGCGCCGGTCCTCCGTCCTGCACCCCAAACAGCCGCCGCCGCCTGCCACCACCCCTCTCTCCACCTCCGCGCGGCTTCAGCCAATCCGCCTCCAGAACGGAGGCGCGTGAGAGCCCCTCGGCCCAATCGCAGGACGAGAGCGTTCTTCCTGCCGACACGCCTCACGGCGAGTGACAACCGCAGCGGCCGATCAGAGCACCGAGAGATTAAAAAAAAAAGAGGGTTTCACCGCTGAGGGAAGAGACGCAAGTGTGCGGGGGTGAAAGCCAATCGGTGGGATGGAGGGTCGACCCTCCCTTGCACTGACTGACGGCACAAGTTTGCCTATCTGTGAAGTGCTCTGGAGGCCCCACCCGAGACGCCATTTGAGCGATCAGTTTCCTAACCAATTGCCGGGGTGCAAATTCACGACGCGGTTCCAGCCCTCCGTCTATTGTCTTTGGGTCTCTTTGACACACGGGGCCGAGGCTTCCGCAGCCAGTTCTTGCCCCTCCCCCACCAGTCCCAAATACGTCATCGGTATAATTGCCTTCCTGGCCTGCTGCTCCTCTCGTGCAGGGGGGAGCCATATTGGCATTGTTGCTATTGGCAACCGACCGAAGGCCTTTCGACCTCGATGAATCGGAGGGTTGATAAGTCCATCCACACACACAGACACACAAAAATAAACCATTAGGAAAGAGTGCAGAATTAGATCCTCCCACCAGTACTAATATCAGAATTTGAAGGAGATTTTTTGCTTTTTAAAAAGTAAACTTTCAAAAGGCTGCCCCCCCGTCTCTCCTAATACATTTGTAGTTGCCTCTTGCAGTGTTTAATAATACTCCGACGAATTCCAGAAGAACTCCCCAAAAGTGGAAGTGTACCGAAAATATAAACCTGCAGGCATTCCATATTTGGCAGTATTTGGCCCAATACTGGCACTGACAAATCAGAGACACTAAGCTGGAACTTCACCACTCAGAACCTTTTTGTTGGTAGAGTAATGGGTGTGGAGTAGTGGATAAGGGAATAAGTTTCCCTAGGGTTGCCAACCACCAGGTAAGCACCTGGAGATCTCCTGCTACTACAATTGCTCTCCAGATGACCAAGATCAGTTGCCCTGGAGAAAATGGCTGCCTCTACGGCATTATACCCTGCTAGGGTCCCTCCTCTCCCCTCCTGAGGCGCCATTCGCCAAATCTCCAGGTATTTCCCAACACTGAGCTGGCAACCCTATACCCTGTGTCCCCACCCATTCTAATTACCTCACCCAGGAAGTGGCTAGATGGCTTTAGGAAAGCTCCTTCCCCTGCCTCGGTTTCCCATTTGTAATATGGGGATAATAATACTGATGGTGCATCCAACCATCCACAGTGAGAATTTCTTGCTTCTCCACCTGCTGTAGCTCACAGAGCCTCCCACAGCTGTCAAGAACAGAATGGAGGCGATGGTGAAATTAACAATTTATTTGACAGAACAGATCAGTTACAAAATTCGAGGAGAGATGGTGTATCCGATGCAAGCAAGACATAGATTTAGTATGAGAAGTAGTTTAAAATGTTGTATACAAATTTATTGCAATGAAGAAGCAGAACAAGGATTAGTCCTAAATGTAACATGTTTAATATAAATGTATCCCTACCAAAGTTACTTTTACTGTATTCCACAGACAGTGGTTTTTTAAAAAATTGTGCAATGAAAGGGGTGTTGGGAAGAAATATTTTCTATTATATGTTATATGTTTTATCTTTTTTTATTTGGTTTTATGTATTGGCACATGGTGCCCTTGTTTGTTAGCCACCGTAAGCCCATTCGTGGGAAGGGCAGGGTAGAAATTTAAATAAATAAATAAATAAATAATTTTCCTTTCTGTGCTTTTGTTATATTACCTATTTGCCAAAGGTAATAGTGAGTATGCAGTAATGACGAAAATATGCAGTACTGAGTATGTAGCAATGGTGAATCTAATAATTCAGCTGAGAAACAAATTAGTTTGAAATATTTGAAATGTGAAATATTGAATATAAATATATCCCAACAGAAAATTTTTATTGTGCTTTGTAGACAGTGTCCCCAAAAAAGTCAATGCAATGAAGGGGGTGTTGGAGAAAAATATTTTTTTCTTTCTTATTTTTTGCTATATATAATCACAAAATATAACTTTTCCTTTTCTGTATCTTCTTTATATTATCTGCCCTCTCCTCCACAACTGGAATTGCTGTTCCATTAGAGGAACACTATAGCTGAATACATATTGAGATGCTATAAAGCACTGGAACACTACTATATAAATGCTAAACAATATTATTTGAATGAAGGCTTTCATTCCCATTACAATTGCTATGTATTCTTAAGTATCTGTTTCTGTTTGTGAAATGTGGATACTGTGGGCTGCTGAGTGGTTCTGCAAGGTAGATAAAATCCTCTACTTTTATAGAAAAATACCAAAGGCATTCCTTCCAAAATATAAAAACGTGTCTGAGCAAGGGTTGTGTGTGCATAGCTCTCATGCTCTCAGGAGAAAGCAAGTGCCCAGCACTTAGCATTCCTTCAGCCAGAGCTGGGAATCTGAGTGGCAACTGATCTGCTGCTTGTTTCCCCTAAGCTTAGTCAAGCTCCCAGGATCACTTGGGAGCTAGACTGAAGAGGCAACCGTATAACTAGTCCCAAGAGTTGCCAGGTGTGGGTTGGAAAATACTTGGAGAGTTTGGGGGTGGATCCAGGAAAGGGCGGGGTTTGGGAAGGGGAGGGGCCTTAGCATGTCACAATGCCATAGAGTCCACCTTTCAAAGGAGCCATTTTCTCCAGGGGAGCTGATCTCTGTCAGCTGGAGATTAGTTGTAAAAGCAGGAGATCCCCAGGCCCCACCTGGAGGCTGGCAACCCTACTTGCCCCTCTGGGCCTGACTGGCAGGAGCTGGAGCCTGTAAAGAGAGGAATGGCAAAGGGATAGAAACCTTCTCTTCCTGCCTCTTCTCCTTGTTGGTTTCTGTGGGCTTCCCCATAGCGCCTGTCTGGCCACAGCTAGAAACAAGATGTGGCTAGTGTTGCCAATGTCCAGGTGGTGGCTGGAGATCTCCTGCTGTTACAACTGATCTCCAGGTGACAGAGATCAGCTCACCTGAAGAGATTGGCCACTTTGGAAGGTGGACTCTATGACCACCCTTATGGCCAGTTTGGTGTAGGGGTTAGGAGCGTGGACTCTAATCTGAGAGAACTGGGTTTGATTCCCTGCTCCTCCACATGCAGCTGCTGGCATGACCTTGGGTCAGTCACAGTTCTCTCAGAGCTGTTCTTTCAAAAGCAATTCTTGGGAGAGCTCTCACAGCCCCACCTACCTCACAGGGTGTCTGATGTGGGGAGGGGGAAGGAGATTGTAAGCCGCTCTGAGACTCCCTCAGGTAGTGAAGGGTGGGGTATAAATCCAATCGCTTCTCTTCTTCTTCATTATATCCCAATTAAGTCCCTCCTCTGCCAAACCCCACCCTCCTCAGGCTCCACCCCCAAACATTCCAGGTATTTCCCAGTCCGGAGCTGGCCACCCTCGATGCCGGACTAGATGAGCCCTTGGTCTGATTTAGCATGGCTGCTGTTTTGTTTTTATGATCCCTGTGTTGGCCCTGCAGCTTAAGTTAAAGCCACTTGGTGAGCTAATGGATATGCAGAGATTTGAACAGGAAACTTTTCATCTCACAAATCATGCCTTTCTGTTATACAGGATTGCAGCTCGGCTAGTTTCAAACTGACCCATCTGTAAACTAGTTACTGTTTTTGAAGGCTGTCCTGAGAATCTGGGAGTGCGCTGTTTCAAATGTACATAAATCTAAGTCAAGTCATGTACACATCATATGTAAAATGAGTTTCATAAGGGTAGCCTTATTAGTCTTCGGTAGCCAAGACCCAACAAAAAGTCATGCAGTGCCTTAAAAGACAAAGGTTGGATCCTATGTGCTTTCCTCTTTAGTGAAAGGGGGAGGTTGGGCCTCTTTTGACCACCCAAAAGGGTTATGCTAGGGATCCTGGGACCCTCATAGGCAAAAGCCACACAGGACAGGTGCTGCAGTGAAGAAGGGAATTTGGGAGAGATTGAGTGGGAATGCTGATAGGATCCAACCCAAACTCATTAGTTGTAGGGTTGCCAGCTCTGGGTTGGGAAATACCTGGAGATTTTGGGGGTGGAGCCTGGAGAGGATGGGGTTTAGGGAGGGGAACGACCTCAGGAGGGTAAAATGCCGTAGAATCCCCCCTCCACAGCAGCCATTTTCTCCAGGGAAACTGATCTTTGTAGTTTGGAGTTCAGTTGTAAAAGCAGGAGAGCTCCAGGCCCCACCCGGAGGTTAGCAACCCTGCCTGGTTGCAGCATGAGTTTTTGTGAGCCAGATCCCACGGTGTCAGTGTGTTACACTCAGTGGGCAGAAGTCAATGGGTAGTGCACCCATGAACCAGTACGGTGGGGCAGTGACATCCAGGAGTGAGCTAGCCTCGATTCCTGTTGTCCCAATTCAATCATGTTAAATCTGCATTCGAACTCCAGTTCAGCAGCTTCCTCTCTTCTAAGAGTCTCTGCAACTCTGCTGCAACATGAATTCCCCTCTTCCCTAGACAAACAGCAGCCTACCTGCCCGGAAGCAAACTTAATGTGAGTTCTCTGCAGTGCAATTTGTCCATAATCAATAACCATCACACGGAAACAGTCTTCTTATCCGTGGATGGCAGCATAAGGCACTGAAACGCTTCTCTTTCAGCACAGTACAAGATCTGTCTGTGGATGTACCAGAAGTACATTAAGAACTCCTCCAGCTCGACTGTTCTGAGCACCTGAAGAACTCTTGTGGGTGCTCTGTTTTAAAAAACACAGTGCTCCAATTCTGCCTTGGTTCTCCTTAGGCTTGGAACTCTTTCCTAGAACATCTCTGTTGATCCCCTTTCTCTTTTTATTAATTTTTTTTACTTACTTCATTTAGATCCCACCTGTCTCCCCAGTGGGGACCCAAATCCGCTTACATCCTTCTCCCTTCCACCAGTTTATCCTCCCAACAACCCT